TCAAAATAAATGTGACAGACACAGTGATGAAGCTGGTATGTGTTTGCAGTACACAAGACACGGTTAAGACAGCTGACTCCACTGTGGTGTGACCATGTCTCTCTCTCTCTCACACACACACACACACACACGCGCGCGCGCGCATGCACGCACACGAACACACACACACACGCGATGCGCAAAACTCCGCATTTGAAAAGTCAATAGCAAATTCTTAAACTAATAACAAAACAGTAGCTGATTCAGAACAGAGTCATGAAAAAAAAGTGCCTGTGAGTAAAAATGGTTAAAAAATATCGCATCGCTTATAGCATGTTTCAATGCCAGTTTCAAAGTGAAATATCCAGTGTCTGCCATTAAATAGCATATTCAATTTTCGTCGAAACAGTTAACCATGACTGTGACAATGTTTTATAACATTGATTGTTGTGCAAAATATTATTACTTGCCTATAAGGCCCTTAATGGGTTAGCTCCTGCGTACCTAACTAGTCTTCTACCACGCTACACCACTAAATATTGTAGAAACTTAATTTGCTGTAAGGTTGCTTTGCAATGATTTGTATCGTGAAAAGCGCTGTACAAATAAACTTGACTTGACTTGACTTGATTGTTGTAGCATGGCAGGTTGTAAATTAATTGATTAACAGTAAGTTTCCATACTATATATGGTGAATAACTGTAATTACATTTAATGTAATTTTACAGTAAAATACTGTTAAAATTACGGTTTTTGGAAGTGAAAAGGAACAAGTATTGTATAATTTACAGTGAAAAACTATATTCCCTGCATGACACTTCACATTTGATGATTTTTCATTGAAATAACTGTTTCTTCTTATTATTATTTTTTCTTATCAGTTGGTAGGTTAGGGTTTTATCTTATATCTAATGTTAAATTAATGTTTATTGCATTATTTCAGTATCATGTGTGCTACTATGATGGTGTTTAGTATTTGTGTGAATGACTCTGGCTGCGTTCGAAACCGCATACTCAATGAGTAGGTACTTAATTTCAATAAGTACTTACTTAACGAGCGCTAAAAGAGTACGTACTCAACAGCCAAATCTAGTTAAGTATGAACGCGATCCGCCATGTTGACGTAATCTTCTTCTTCTTTAAATTTTTATGGCTGTTTACAATCATGATTTATCAGATGTATACCGCCACCTATTGTACCGGAGTACATAGCATGGATCGTGGTCCCTTATTGTTGATGTTAACATGTGACCTAAACAAAACAAGTTAAATAATTACTTGAGGTGACAGGTGTGCACTACCACCTGATCACAACAGTAAATTGCTTACCCTGCCTAGTGCGGTTTTCCTTAGCGTTTGGAATGGTATTACAAAGGAGACGTCGGGCAGCTGCTCGCAGATCTCGCCTTAGGAGAACACTGTTGATTTTATACTTCAAAAATGTAAGTGTCACCACTTATAAATTAAGATTACACCAGAATGAATTGCATTGCTAGCTCACCCCAACACTTTCGCACAATGATAATAACAGATGCAGACCCATGCTTAATTGTACTACATATTACTGAAAATTGTATAATTTCATTAAACAAGCCTAATTAATTGTTTTCATATGACATGCATGAAAACACATAAGACAAATGGAGCCGATGTGAACATCAATTTTCAGTCAAGCAATGAATGAATGCATGAAGTAATGAAACAATTGCTTTATTTACTGACATTAATTCACTCATTTTTATTGTTTCCTAATTAACCATCACATTAACTGTATACATATACAAGTCAACAACACATGAAACAAATCTTTATTTGAGTTTAATGTTCTAATAAACTCGCACATATTTACAGGCAGTGAACCCCGCATCCTACTGCCATGTCAACACAGCTGTGCCGATTCTGCGGTTTTATCTGGACCAAGCAGCTGACCATCGTGCCCACCTTAGCCTGTCTTTGCCATCCATCAGGTCCCTCATTGCAGCAGTCAGATTGGAATCTGACCTTGGGTGGGAAAAGGACATTGAAGTCCTCGTATTCCTCCACTGGCTTGCACATGCAGCATCCTACAGGGTCGTGTCACAGACCTTTGATATGCCCATATCCTCTGTGCATGGGATTGTGCACAAAGTGAGCAAGGCAGTCATAGGAATTTTGAGGAGGGTGATTTCTTTTCCAACCGGGGATGACCTGGAGGCAGTGGGAGCAGGATTTGCACAGCTAGCTCACTAGCTTTCAGTCGAGCAGTCGGTGCAATAGACGGCTGTCGTATCCGAATTAAACCTCCAGCAAATAACTCCCAATGCTACTACAACAGAAAACTGTTTCATTCCATCCAACTCCAGGCCATCACTGATCACCAGGGGAAATTCCTTGATGTCTTTGTGGGATATCCGGGGTCTGTGCACGATTCTAGGGTGCTGAGGAACAGCCCTGTATATGCCGGCAGCCTATATCCACCTGCAGGAAAGTGCATCCTCGGGGATGGTGGCTATCCTTGCCTGAGAGCACCCATCTGCCTCATCACCCCATACAGAGAGCCTGTGCAGAACCCTGTGCAGGCTCGTTTCAACAGCAAGCACTCCCGCGCACGAAGCATAGTAGAGCGAGCCTTTGGCATGATGAAAATACGCTGGCGCTCCCTTTTGTTCAAGGCCTTGGAGGTGAGCCCTGTCTTTGTGCCTGAGGTTGTTGCATGCTGTGCTGTGCTTCACAATCTCGCTCTTGTCAATGGGGACATCGTTGAGCCAGTGGAGGAAGACCATGACGACGGCCCCCCTGAACCCCACAACCTTGAACCAAGAGGGGGAGAACATGTGCGGGACAATCTGGCTGCTGCTGTGTCCGCTCCAAACATTTGTGTGCCTGCTCTCCATGAGCATGACTACCTGTGAAAGATTAAAACAGGTTAAGTCACTTTGGATAAAAATGTCTAATAAATACATACATAAAAATAAATGTGATTTGTATTCCTGTCACGGTTCACACACACGAGGAACACGGGAACGAAGGAGCGGCTTCCTGGGCTGAACTGGGGAACGGGAGCCCTTCCCGGGCTGAACTGGGGAACGGGAGCCCTCCATGGGCTATACTCGGGACCTGGGCTGACACTGGAACGAACTCTGGGGCCACAGCCGACACCCTTCTCCTCACCCCTAGCATCCTCTTCTGGATTGGGGGGAAAGGGCGTGTTCTCGGCCAACACTGGAGCGAGCTCTGGGGCTGAAGCCGACATCCTTCTCCTCACCCCTAGCATCCTCTTCTGGATTGGGGGGAAAGGGCGTGTTCTCGGCCAACACTGGAGCGAGCTCTGGGGCTGAAGCCGACATCCTTCTCCTCACCCCTAGCATCCTCTTCTGGATTGGGGGGAAAGGGCGTGTTCTCGGCCAACACTGGAGCGAGCTCTGGGGCTGAAGCCGACATCCTTCTCCTCACCCCTAGCATCCTCTTCTGGATTGGGGGGAAAGGGCGTGTTCTCGGCCAACACTGGAGCGAGCTCTGGGGCTGAAGCCGACACCCTTCTCCGCACCCCTAGCATCCTCTTCTGGATCGGGGGGGAAAGGCGTGGTCGGCGAACTGGAGTGTTGAATGTCTGGCGGGCTTGACCTGGCCCAGAGTCTGACAATTCCTAAGTAAATCCTTTTTTGAAAGTGTCTCTGTCTTAGTTTATTTCTTTAGGGTACTACTACAGGCTTATATAAATTTATATACATTTCATACAATTTTTATTTGAGAGATTAGTTCACTCAAACATATAAATTCAGTCATTATTTACTCACTTTCATGTCGTTTGATCCCTCTGTTTTTGTTTATTACACTATTTGTTGATGCCTTTGAGGCTTCTAAATGTCAGGCTTTATTGGCCAATATTGTATGACCAGAAACCAACAGAATATACTTGACCAAAATCAGCTTTTATGTTCAGAAATAGAACTAGAGGGATGGAACACCATGAAGTTAAGTAAATAATGAGTTTATAGTGTATGTTTGGGTGACCTTTAATCACTGTTACTATGTGTAGTTAATGCAAGTGAAGGTGGTTTGTGCAAACAGTCTCAACATAGGTTATGAAGGGCCATTGTCCAGCAGAGTTCATTTCCTTCCCTTATGTATGTGTGTGTGTGTGTGTGAAATTAAATTCTCATTTCAAACATATGTGTGTTCTTCACAAAAATCCAAGTTTAAATATACATATAAATTATTTATTTGCAATACATTCAAGGAGGTGAAGTAATCTTTCCTCCCTTTGACTTGCTTCCTGGTGCCACCTTTCTTCTCTTTCTCTGTCCTCAGCATGTCGTCTCTCCTCCCGCTCTTGTCTGTCTCGTTCTCGTCTCTCCTCCTTCTCCTCCATTTCTCTCCATCTTTTCTCCTCCGTTTTGACTGCTTCTTGCTCTCTTGTCATTTCCCTCTCCTCAATCTCCTTGATCAGATTCTCAATTGATTTCCGGGTTCTTTTCCTTGATGCCCTTGGTGTGTCTGGGGCTGGGCTCACTGAGGATGTAGAGGCCACAGCAACATCCGTGCCAGATGAGGCAATAAGGGCAGGTGGAATGATGGAGGGTCTGCACCCAGTTGCCTCATCCATGGCCCTGTACCACTTCCAAGATGCTGCTGTGGGCTCTCCATCCTCAGTGCTCATACCGGTTGCTGGACATTTGTGATCCTACAAAAATGCACAAACAAAACAAAAGCAGTCATTTTAACAGCACAATGTCAACTGATTTCTGTATTAGAAATAACAACATGATCTTACTTTATATTTTTGTTTGAGGTTTTCCCATTTTTTTTTTTACAAAGGCCGCCGTCACCCTGTCTTGCAGGCCCTGCTCCATCACAAAAGCTCTGCACACAAATCAAGAATCAGAAAAGTGCTGTAATATCTGTTTGAAATAACATTAATTAACAGCATATGACATCAGTTTTCATTGGTTTCTGCAGTATACTCACTCAAAGCCTTTGATGGCTGCATTTCGTTTTCCGGTGAAGAGGGCCTCATTAGCACTCTCCACCGGATAAGCACATGTTGTGTGCTCATCTGTCCCTGTAACATTCAAACAAGATTGTTACAAGTTACTTCTGTGATTTATGTTTTCAGCACTACACACACAAAACAAGTTATTCAGTGGTTCTTTGGGTTGGTTCAGGTGCTATATAGCACTAAAATGGTTCCCCTATGATTACGAGCCAGCAAACCACTTTTAGTGCTCTTTAGCACTATTTATTTTAGAGTGTACATATAAATGTTGAGGCAGTTGCTGATGTGTTTTATCCAATAACATTTGCTACGCAATTCATCAACAGTACTAATAGACAACTACATTTGATAGCTTATTGATAACTTTAATTTCTTGAAACCTTTAAAATAGTATGGTTTTATTTACATTACATAATTATTTACATTAGCAGTGTTGACAACAGTGAATTCTACTGCATAGCTAATAGCACACACACATCACTGATGTCTATTTCATGTTGTGATGTTCTCTTCTGCAATACTTGTCGAAGATGTTTCTGTCAGATATTACAAACATTTAGTAAACGTCTTTAACTATGTATATAATTAAGAACATATAACATGCTAAAGTTACAAGCCATCTGAATTAACATACGTAAGTTTCCTAGTTAAAAACTGCACATTAACGTGCTTGCAATCACGACTTTAGAAGTGGGAATAATGACATTTACGATAGCACGTGAATGCAGCAATCCACTTTGTAGACGCATGTGTGCTTACTGGAGCTCAGCAGTGGCTATAAATAAACACGTTTTTACAACAAAATCACAAATATACTATAATATCTGTGCAAACACCTTCAACAATTCAACAGTTTACTTTACAGTAGTTCAAAAAATTCAATTTTAACACAAGAAACCATGTTTTTGTTTTTTAATACTCACATTTGAAAACTGTGTTCTTCTCCATGTTCGATTATGATGTATCCTCCTCCTCTTCTTTTTCTTCTTAAGGATTTGCGGTAGACTAGACTCATCCTCTCTTCTTCTTGGTTAACGTATCCTCTCCCATGGCATTGTGGAATAGAAAAGTATCCCGCGATCGGCACTTCGGAGTCTGGAGGGGACGCAGTAGGCCATCCGGGGATCTCTCGCCTACTCTTCTATGAATACTGTGGTTTCAGACATACTACTCTTCTCACGTACCCATTTCACCTACTATATAGTAGATAAGTAGGCATATTTGAACGATACTTAAGTATACGTACGCCCGAATCTCGCGAGAAATAGTGCTCCATCCAGGTAAATCTCGCCTACTCTTTTGTGGATATTGAGATTTCATGCATACTTTTCCTTCGCCTACTGCTTTTTGCCTACTAAATTGTAGGGATTTCTATCATGAACAGGACACTGATATGCCACTGCTTCAACTCATCATGAGGCTTCGAACTAATCCAATCAGGAGATAACACAGAGATCTTTTGTATCAGGACTGAAAAGTTCTTAAACCCCATATAGAATGGAAACGAGTGTTAGAACCATGAAAACTTCATGCAACTCATTTCCTTCATTCTTCTGGACTGTATATGTGTGTGTGTGTATGTGTGTTTTAGCTTAGTTTTAATGTAATCTAGAAAAGCAAATAAATTTGTTTTCATTTATAAAGAATATAAGAATTAATGAGTTAAATTTCTTACAGTACAAAATAGTATGGAAGTATGCGGTTTCGAATGCAGCCTCTGTGCACCTTTTATATATTACCATTCACTTCCTCAGCTTGTGAGCGGGGTTTGACTGATTGGAAGCGGATGGCTCAACTAAACTGGTCTGAGCCTGACACTGAGATGGCAGCTGTGCTTAACCGGGCAGCAGAGAGCATAAGACTTTAGAGGATTCTTCCATCCTGTCCTGAGCACTCTCGCTTGAATGATTGGTTCTTGGAGACCTCGGTGAGTGTGCAAGAGTGCAGTGAGTCAGCAAGGGTGCTGCTGTTCTTCGAGCAAAGTTGCGTCCCTTCTGAGTGCTATAAATCCTGTCCCTCAAGCTGAGATGAAGAAGGAGTCTTACAGCCCCCACTTTATTTTACCCAAGAAGGGTGGGGGGCTCAGTCCAATCTTAGACCTAAGGGTGCTGAGCCGGGCCCTTTACAAGCTCCTGTTCAGAATGCTAACCCTCAAACACTTACTTTGCTTGTAGTGTTTCAGCTAAATGCTGTATCCATGTGACTTAAAACAATCTGAGGGGTCAGTGTGCCCCAGCTACCTCTGGTGTTTCTGAGCTGGGTAGTGTGTTTCAACTGTCATAAGTCTGAAACTGTAGAGTCTTCTGAGCTGTGCCGAGTGCTTCAGCTCTCTTTTTTTCCCCCTTTAACTCATTTTTGTGGGAACATTTTTTGTAGGGAGGTGGATGCCTTTTCTTTTGGAAATTACACTTTTCTCCCGGATTTAAATTAGAGAGGGAGTAAGGGAAGGATCTCTGTTTTGGAGTTGACTCAGTAAGGTGCAGATAGATCTGTTGGCCTCACAAGAATTCACTTATTGCCCACTGTGGTGTAAGGGAAACAGGTCAATTTAGCTCAAAGGGAATCATTTAAGATTTTAAAGGGAATTTGGACAGAATCACTGTTTTACGGCTGATCACTGAGACGGCCAGCGATTTCAAATCTTAAATTGTCTGATTCGGTCTGATACCCTACAGTGGGTTCCCTGACTGAGGCCCCTTCGGCATGGACACACTGGCAGACAGCTGGCCCAGGCCAATGCAAATATGCGTTTCCCCCAGTGAGCCTCATTGCATGGACACTGTGCAAAATCAGGGAGGACATGGAACAACTCTTGTTGATGCCACATTACTGTCCCAAGAAGACTTATTTCTTGAAACTCGTGCTGTTGGCTTTAGGTCCTCCCTGGCAGATTCCCCTGAAGAGGGACCTTCTCTCCCAGGGGAAGGGCACAATCTGGCACCCGCACGCCCAGATCTCTGGAGCCACCTTGTTTGGTCTCTGGATGAGACCAGGAGGAACTCAGAGGTCTTTCACCCGCTGTGGTGAATATTATTACACAAGCTAGGGCCCCCTCTACAAGGTGGCTATACGACCTGAAATGGCACATTTTTGTGTATTGGTGTTCTTCCCATGGGAAGGATCCTCGGAGATGTGACATCAGATCTTCCTCCACGAGGGCTTGGACAGGCGCCCATCTGCATCTACAGTATATTCAAGGTGTATGTGGGCGCTATTGCAGCAAACCACGGCACTGTAGATTGAAGATCGGTGGGTAAGCATGATCTGGTTATCAGATTCCTAGGAGGCGTCCAGAGGTTGAATGCTCCAAGGTTATGCCTCATCCACACTCAACCAGGGGCATTGCTGCTTTGTCAACTTTAGTAAATGGTGCCTCATTAGTGTACATTTGTAGAGCTGCAGGTTGGGGTACACCAAATACATTTGCCAGATTCTACAATCTGCAAATGGAACCAGTTTAATCTAAAGTTTTGAGCACTAACTCTCAGATGGCTGGTAGGGTATAGTGCTTGTATTTAGCATCTTCCCCTCTTTGAGGTGTTAATGTGTGCTTATTGAATCCAGTTCAGTTCCTTCTTATGAACCCTGAACTACCCTTCCGTCACTCAAGCACTCTCTTACGTAGCTGAGCAGAGGAACTCGCTACAAGAATGCATTACGAGTAAGTATCTCTTGAGTGAACTCTCATAATGGATTACTGCTCCATATGTTGTGGCTCCCTTTGGTGGCCACATATGTGTATTGGTCCACTGCTTTTTACTGAGTAGGATTCAGTGTTTCCCCTAGACAGACAATCGGTCTGTCACTTCTGTGCTTGGTAGTTCTCCCCTTATGCGGAGCCCACCACATCTTGCCTATGTAGTACTCCCTTTTAGGATGCATCTCCACATGCTACCTCCCCTTCGGGTAGGATGTGGTCTCCGTACTGTTCTTTCCCCACTTGGGGGAAACAAACGCTTCCCCAACAAAGCTTTCTCAACCATCATTTTTCTTTTTTTTTCTCTCTGAATAAGAAAAGGATCTGGCTGGAAGTGACCTCTGCCTTATATGGCAGCTCTCCTGGATGTTGGAGAGTGAGGTCATAAATCTTGGGTGTTGGAAGGTTACGAGGAGGAGAGGTGCATTTGGTCGTGGAACGCTGGGCTTGTCAACATCTGTGCCCTATGGACTCGTAACAGTTCAGCAGCTGTGGCGTTTAGAATAGGGATCCCTAGTGTTGGAACTTGACACAACGTCGAAGTGACCAACTGAAAGGGAACGTCTCGGTTATGTATGGTAACCCTCGTACCCCTGATGGGGGGAACAAAAATGTTGTGTCCCTTATGCCACAACTCTAAACTGCTTCCAAGTGGGTTGAGATGCTTTTCGAATCCTCAGAACAAAACGAGTGAGCAAATGCCATGTTGGCCTATTTACTGTATACCCGGATGTCCAGGGCATGGCCAGCTATGAAAATTTTGCTCACCAATTTCATTTGCCTTTTCTCAATGGTGTCAGAGGTGTCTGGGCTCCCAAGTCTGATCCCTAGTGTCAGAACTTCGACACAACATCTCTGTTCCCTACATCAGGGAACGAGGGTTGCCATATGTAACGGAGACGTTTTTTACTTTGAATTTAAGTTAATTCTATAAAAACTAAAATGGTGCTACCAATTTTTTTACAGTAAAGATCTGGCAACCACAGCTGCCGTTATTTTACTGTAAATGTCAAAACAGATTTATTTATTTATTATTATTATTATTATTTTTTTTTTACAGTGCAGCACACTCCATTCATAAATATTGTAAGTTTTGGCAAATTGGTGGCTAATTTGTGTGAATAAAATCTCATTTAAAAATAATAATTTAAACACAACATTTTAGGGCATTTAGTGCTTTGGAAGGCTGAAATAACCAAATTGTAATGTGGGGTTTGGTGTTTGTGTTTCATGTTCATGTTTTCCATGTCTTTTATTTTGGAGTTTAGTCATGGTCCCTGTTTGTGTCATGCTTCCCTTGCCCTCATGTATTCATGCCATTGGTTCTC